TTGAATTCTATTATATGCAAAAACGCATCCAGGGTGTTATGGGAAACATAAAGACAAGCAGGATTCATCAAGGAACAAGAATCTAGACCAGCAGAAGTCCATTATGTACGTAAATAACTAATATATAAAGTTGATTTCATAAAACCTCTGAAAGATTAGGTATGTAACGTAAGAAATGACTTCTGACTGCATCTGGATATGGAAAGTTCTGGATATGCATACAACTTGACATTAAAATGTGGAAAAATTCCACTAAGAATAGGATAAAGAGAAGCTTTATTAAAAAAGGCTAGAATAATAGCATGAAGGAAGATATAAAAAGTGCAGATTACATTGTGGGAAAATGAAATTGGATTTTTCCTGATTCCTTGAATTTGTAGTGTTTTATAGCTTTCAAAGTGCTTTCACATATGTTACATTATTTTGGAACTAAGCAATCATAAGGAAGATTATAGGAAAGTATCTTCATCTGATTTATGTTTGTGTAATAATAATATCTGAGGCTGGATACTCTGTAAAGAGAAAGAGGTCTATTTATGAGTGTCCCATTCTTGTCATAACACAATGGTTTTCATCACAGGGCAGGAGCACACACATTGTGTGCTGAAGAGAGACTTAGGAGAGATGCCAGGTTCTCTTATAACAACCAGATCTCAAAAAAACTAATCTAGTCCTATGAGAGCTAGAATTCCTGCAAGGTGACTAATCAACTACAAAGAGTTAATGACTTGTCTTCAAGCCCTCACTACCTCAGTGCCACTGTGCTTTAGACTAAGCCTCAACCTGAGTGTTGATGGGAACAGACCATATTTAAACCAGAGTGAAAAAATATTTTTTGTGTTTTACATAGAAATAAAATGAGGTTTTTCTTGTTTAGGTGATTGGTTTTGGATTTTGAGACAAGGTCTTGCTATATATTCAGGCTGGCCTTGAACTCACTATATGGCCCAGGATGGCCTGGAGCTATTGGAGATCCACCTGCCTCAGTCCCCTGAGTGCTGAAATTACAGGTATGCACCATCATGCCTGGTGAAAATGAGTATTAGAGAAAACAAATGACTTGTAAAAAGTTATCAGTTCATAAATTGTGCTTAATAAATCTTGACAACCTGGTCAAAGTGTGAAAGAGAAAGTGCAAGAGGTCACTGACATAATAAAATGTACAAGTCTGCACCAGAGCAGATTTGCTTGCAATGATGAAGAGATAGTTTTTAAAAAACAAACACTGCACATGCATAATGCACATGCATTGCTCTTGACTGGATGTAGGGAGCGAGAAGAAAGATGCATCAAAAGACTCAGAGGCTATAAACATATAAACAACTACTTTGGCCCTGAAGGTCACATCATTGAAGTCTCTTAATGTCTTCAATATCTGTTCCCAAGTTGTAGCTCTCAGGGAAGCCTATTCTAATTAAATACCATATTTGATACAAATGTGTACCAGTAGAAAATATCTAAGAAGAAATGAGAAATTGTGATGAGTCAAATAATGAAACTTTTAATGGTTTGAAAATATATCCACAAATTCTTTGATGCTTCGTTTATGAAATAAATTTTAGTTTTCTTTAGTTATGAGATGTGCAGAATGACTGACTCTAGTAAATAGAATGAGACTATATGATATAATTGCAAGTTTTTGTATCCTCCAAAGTCATGTAGAAACTAAATCCCAGTGCAATAAGATTGAGAAGTATGGCCTTTTTAGCATGTGTGGAATTAGATACTTTTTTTCCCCCGCATTGAGTTTATTGGTACATTTTAGGTACAGTACACAGTTAATTAAATACCATATTTGATACAAATGTGTACCAGTAGAAAATATCTAAGAAGAAATGAGAAATTGTGATGAGTCAAATAATGAAACTTTTAATGGTTTGAAAATATATCCACAAATTCTTTGATGCTTCGTTTATGAAATAAATTTTAGTTTTCTTTAGTTATGAGATGTGCAGAATGACTGACTCTAGTAAATAGAATGAGACTATATGATATAATTGCAAGTTTTTGTATCCTCCAAAGTCATGTAGAAACTAAATCCCAGTGCAATAAGATTGAGAAGTATGGCCTTTTTAGCATGTGTGGAATTAGATACTTTTTTTCCCCCGCATTGAGTTTATTGGTACATTTTAGGTATACAGTACAGTTACATTCATTATTGAGATCTTATACCTTTACACGACAGGTCTTGGTTCTCATTTTTTCCTCTTGTCCCTGCCCTCCCTTCATCCCTCCTCCCCTCCTCCTTTGCAAACACTTCATTTCCATTTTCTCATATACTTTTATGAAAGTGTTTGGCTTTCCACCTTCTGCCATTTGAGAATAGAGTATTCTCTTCTTCTGGAGGACATGCAGTGTTCAAGTCTCCATTCTGAAAGCAGAGGCTAGAACCTCCATAGACACAACCTACTGGCACTGTGCTCTTGGACTTTCCAAGCCTCCACAATGGTGAGAAATAAATTTCTATTCATTATAAAACCAGGATCAGGTCTTTTAAACAGCACAAAAGGGAGTAAGATACTAGATAACAAAGGGCATGGTTGTTGAGTTTTTGCCTTCTCTTTTAGATCACACACTCTGGAATAAATTAGCTTCCACATCATAAGAACAGCCAGGCAATTATATGAAAAGAAGTTTTAGATAAGAAATTTAGACCTCCTGTCATCAGCCATGCTAGTGAGCCATCTTGAGATAGGGACTACCACAGTGGGACAGAAGACTGAGATGATAAAATAAACTTCTGGATTCCCTTTTTAGCATGGTATGTTTTAATAGACCAAACATGAGTCCCTGATAAAACTGCAAAAACAATGTGTGCATGAAAGAAACAATGTCTGCAGGAAAAAAGAAAAAGAAAAATTAATCCCTCTAGCTTCACATGCTCTTGGTCAACCTAACATCTCCAATTTTGGAGGTTACACAGTTAGGCAGTACATTAACTGCCTACAACCTTTGCTACAGGGTAGCATCTCTGATGTTAGTGTTATGGTACCAGTTATTGGACTTGCTTCTCATGGACCTGAAGGCTGAGTTTCCTGAGACAACTGACTCTGAGTCTTTTCACGTCTTAGTGATTATATGGAGACATGCTCATCATTAAAGAAATATTTTGCTCACAACTATGAAAAAGGGTGAATTTGGACTAATCAGTGCTGGAGTGGGTGATTTTTCTGCCCCACTCTTGTGCCTTATCAGCAGTTCAAGCAATAAAATTCCTTTAGTGCTTTCTCAAAGCAAGATGATATCAGATGTTGGAGTCACTAGACAGTTCCTGAGCAGAGTTGACCATCTGTAAGTCCACCAAGTACAAGGTCAAGATGTGCCTATGCAGGTTTAGGACACCAGCTACATGGAAATTCAACAGCTTCTGGGCATATTGACCATAACCACGCAGTGGTCCAAGTCTGTCACAAGAAAAATCATCTTTTGAAACATACCATTGGCAAATAAAATTACTGGATTTTAGCCAACACTAGTACATCTGTTTTCCTATGAGTAGCAGCTCTCCTTGTTCTATGAGCAGCACCTTGGTCACTCAGCCAATTGCTTGCTCTCCTTTCAAACAGAGATCCAATTTTGCTGAAGTTCCTGCCACCCGCTACCACCACCACCACTACCAAGCTTTGCCTGTACAAGATTCTATGCACTTGAAATATTTGGCCCAGTCTCATTTCTACCACCTCTGAGTAAAATTATCCCATTCTGTCATCTCAATCTCATAAATAGACTTTCTAGTTTCAGTCCTTTAAATGATGACAGCCCTGGGCAATATCTGACTGTAACCTTTTGAGAAAGAATCAGAACCAGAACCATAACCTCCCAACTAGACCATTGGCACATTCTGACCAACAAAAATTTTGAAAAACAAGCAAGATATTTTGTTAGATAGAAATAAATAATACAAAGGTAAAAGTGAAAAAGCTACACATTATAGGACTTTCAGGTCAGAATTTACAACTCAATTTAAATCGGAGAGAACAAGATTCTTTCTTGACCTCTTAATAACTTAGAAGAGTAAAAACTGAACAAAGGAGTAAAATAAAAATGAAAATAATTTTGAACTTGATCTAGTCAACTTTGACCACTAATCACTGCGCATTAAAACTCAATTCATTAATATATGATATATAAAGTATATAAATAAGTTTAATATATATTTCTAGAAATAATGTGAATTAAGATATTTAAATATATTAATTTATTCATTTAACTATATTGAGTTATTAACATATTTAAATTCCTATACTCATGACATTAATATATTGACATCCCCTATATGTATGTTCTTCTGGTTTAAATGCAGTACCATGGTATGCTTATAGTACCACTTATAACTCCACACTATTTTACTATGCTGTATTTCAATTCAAAAAGGAACAAATTCTAATTTACAAAACTATAGGGAGTCTCTCCTGTCATACATGTATGTGTGTATCTATCCTTGCTTAAATTTCTGGGTAAATTTGAAAAGCTTCGCACATTACCCTCAAGTTTATAGAGAGCCCTACCTTTTACAATGTGCTTTCTCAGATCATTCCCCGCAGGGCATGCCACAATGAAGCAGATGCCTAGATACGCTATGTAAGGGCACTTAGCTATCTAAAAGGGAATAGATTTTTAATAGACACTAATATATATTTGACATGTAAAGTGGCTTTTTTCTAGGACATGCTAACCTTAGAAAAAAATAGTAGAAGCTGTTCGTTCAATTAAACCTCCTCTTTGCTATTCTCCCTCTCAAATTCAATTAGGATACACAAAAAAGGCCTCCTAGACTAGGACAATTTTGGATTTTGGGACAGACTGCGAGGGTCAAATAAAAAAGTGTGTGTAGACCGACTAGTTGAAACAGACGGGCAGAACCCTAAATTAGAAAAGCTACACTGGCGTTTCCTCAATGGGCTAGTGCGCATGCGCCGCGGGGGCGTGGTAGCCTATAAACCACTCAGTTTACGCCGAGGGACCTGGGGGAGTAGGAGGGATGTGGGCGGGGCTGGGCGCGCGGGAGATTCAAACTTCCTGACTCGGAGTTAGTGCCCGCCCGCACGGAGGTGAAGATGCAAGGCAGTTTTCTCCTTGGGCCCTGCAAGTAGAGGGCCACTGCGCCGGCTGGAGAGATGGTGGAAGGACCAGGCTGTACTCTGAATGGAGAGAAAATTCGGACGCGAGTTCTCCGGGGACAGGCGGTGACCGACGTGCGGGGAAAGGCTCTGCAGAGCCTGGAAGGCCTCCTGTCGTCACACACAGCCTCCGTGGCTGAGGTCTCTTTCCAGGTGAGCTACTGTAGCTCTACTCAAACTGACCCTGCTGATGCGGGGGTCGGGTAGAAGAATAACCCCATCAGGTTTCCAGGATCCATAATGTCATTTATTTACTCTGGTTCAGGTTGTCTCGGACTTGGCTTTCCCAGGATTTTTCTGTAACTGGACGGAGAGTTGATGGGATGGAATCGATTATTGAGCGTTTTTTTTTAATTCCAAGTCACCTCACTTAACTTCTTAGTAACTCAGCATAAGGTGGCTTGCATATGCCTACAGCTCCATTCTGCACGGTTAATATTATTAGATAAGTGCAACCTCTGATGTTTCTTCACATTTTTAAGATTGTAAGCTTTTAACATAGAATTCTTGATTGCCTAAGATCCTGCTATTGATATAAGTATGTTACAGGTAATCTATGATTCTAAAATTTCACACAGAACATTTAATATTGCCATGTAATGAAGGGTCAGTAAAACCCAGTGTGGTTTATTTAAGATAATTTATTTCTATTCAAAGTAAACTGTAGCACAGCTTCTTTCCACTCAAGTACTCATTGCAAATAGTGTGATATCCACTTGATAAGGCCTTAGAACTTGTACTAAAAATATTCTGATTAAGCCACCATGCTTTTAAATCTGTTTAGATGTGTGAATGATTTTATTTCACATGCAGTATTGTGCTTTACTTCAGTTTCTCCTGAAAAATTTCCTCATAGACTTTGGTCTTGGGAAGGAAGTTACTTACTCCGAAATTAGCAGGTGTTTTCAATTTAAAAGAAAGGCTGTTCTAAGTCTCAAATTCTGAAACAGAATTAGCATTGTATCTTCCTCCAATTGCCTTATATTTGACTTGATACATCTGTAAATACTCTCGTTTTTTAAAAATTATTTTATTGTGTAGATTTTTTTTTGGTATTGGAGATCAAACTCAGGTCCTTGGGCTTTTGAGGCAGGCGGTGGAATCACTGAGCTAAATCCGCACCCTAAAAGTTATTTTGTTTCTCAAAATCATTTCAGGGTCTGTAGAGATGAAATTTAATGTTCCTTTAAGAATATTAATGCTAATGAAAATCACTCATTCAACAAAATTTTGAATAATCTCAAAGCACCTGAGGAACAAAGCTCATTCCATTGTAAAGCTTTTATCTTAATTAGGAAGATATTCATTCATTAAAGAAGAGTAGGGGGAAGGAAATAAGGGAAAAGAAAAAAAAACAGAAAGTGAAAAAAATGGAAATAAAATATTTGCAAATAGGGAAGGGAGGAGGGGATGAAGGGAGGGCAGGGACAAGTGGAAAAAGATGAGACCCAAGACCTGTCATGTAAGGGTACAAGATCCCAATGATGAATGTAACTACTGTATACC